TGCTGCCTTCGGTGTCACCTTCCAACTAATCTGTTCGTACTTTGAACTTGTACGGCATAGTAAAATATTTATGTATGCATGTAGTACTATATTATATATTAATAATGATCAATATGTGAACAATAAATAATTATGAATGACTACATATATGATGGTTTTCAGAACTAAACTACTATAATATATTAATATAACATGCATGATAACTATAACAGCGATATATATATATATATATATATATGTGTGTGTGGAGATCATATGTTTATGTGTATGTGTATTATATGCCACATCTTTCGGCTTTCTTTAGCCAATTTCTCAACCAATACTTTACATACAGAGACAACAACTTACGTACATGATTTATGATTTTGAGTTTAAAAAAGTTCAATATTAATCCACCTCTTAAATTGTATATATACTCATATATACATATATATTTATATATATATATAGTATGATATGAAACTTGAAACCACAAACATAACAATGAAACTTGATAACAGTGATATCTCTCTCTCTTCTTTAATTTTTTTTCCCACTTTTTTTTTTTTTTTTTTTTGGATTTTTTTTCCCCCTTTTTTTTTTTTTTTTTTTGGGTGGGGTTTGGGGGAGGAGGCCTCTGCAGGATAATAAATACACGATCTGATCAACAATGGCCAATCTTTTTTTTAATATAAATCCCTTTACAGTTCTTATTTTGAATTATCACTGAATTGATCACCACATGCAAGAGACGTAGGAATAATTAAATCCTTACTTTTCTCAGACATATTGAAAACAAAAGCTCATCTTTTTTCTTTTCCAAAAACTTATTCTCGTTCACAACTTTTAGAAAATGTCAATCATTAATATAGTCCAAATTTTGGGGCAATGTGAAATAGAATAATGGTTTACTAACATGGGTGGATGTTTAAATTATACAACAAAACCATCTTCACCGTCATATGAGATTTCCTACAAATTGATAATCAATTCTTATGATCAATTAGAATATTGATGTGTAAAATGGTGTCTAAACACTATAATTTTGGAACCAGAATCATGATTTTGAGTTCAAATTATGATTTTAAAATTATAATTCAGAATTAGGGGTTTGAATAACTTTGAATCAAGATGGGAGTGGTTTTAGAATCATGAGTGATTCTGGTTTAAAACATCACATCATATTCTGAATCATAATTTAAAATCATCCAAACTAAACAATGATTCTGAATCACTGTAAATAAATACTGATTCTGAATGAGAATCCAGAATCAGATTCATTTACTAAACAAACCCTGAAATTTAAACAGGTGATCCGAAACCATGCTCATTTATATGAAAACTCGTTTTAAGATCTATTCTCTTTTCCTTGTACACAATGAATATTTCTTGGAAGGGAATTAACTAAATCACTTTATTAATATAACCTCTTGTCGTTATGCTAAAAATAAAAAAGGTGAAACTCGTGATAATTTAAGTATTATCATTTCAGGTACTATTGGTTAATTGTTCCGCCGGCCAAAGAAAGTCCTCCTGCTAACTCATTAACAAATTATCATTGAAAATAATAATAATAATAAGAATAAAAGAGATAGTGAAGCTTTCCACGTATTTACGCTAGCTAGGTTTGGATAGCCAACGGAGATCGTGTACTTGCCCTTGATTAATATATATATATATATATATACATATATATATTCTAATTAAGAATGTCATGTTTGAAATTATTTTTATTTTTATTTTTTACGTTTTTTAAGAAAAAAAAAATAATTTCAAAAATAATTTTTTAATTTAATGTAAAATAGGAGATAAATGAAAAACGACTTTTAGTCGTTTTTTATTTTTTATTTTCATTTTCTCTTCTCTCGAGCATAATGAGAGAGAGAGATTAATAAGTTTTTTATGCTAAAAATAATCTCTTGATAAAATTATCAAACGTATTTTTAAAAATAATTTATATCTGAGATTAAAAACCTTTTTATTTTCATTTTCATAAAAAAAATAAAATAATTTTAAAATGAATTTCAAACACACCTTTTTGATTATAATCTTCGAATAGGAATGTACATAGCAAATGATACAAAGGTTATAAGAAAGCTATAAAAAAAGCTTCATCGAGTTGTCTATATTTCAATGGCCTTTTCAAGTCCTTCAAAGAAAACATGAAAGTATATATGTGAACTGTTCATTAATAAATTTCATTTTTACAAGTGAAAAAATGGAATCCAAATACCAAAAGCACCAAGTTTATTGGTCCACATGGATTCCCCACTCAGGTATATGTGTACGTTACCCACGTCATTTCCCGGTAAAGAGTTCCACATGCAAATGATTGTTTGGTAGTTCTTGCTTTAAAAGTTCCATTCCTTTACGTTTTAATAACTTGTAAAAGTAGGACGGTTGTTTAAGACTCTATTTATTTTATCAATTTGAGTTTAAAATTTAAATTTTAATATAATAAAAAGTTATCAGAAACAGTCACATTTAATTTTTTTACTACAGTTAAAGTTCTCACATAAAATCATATTTCAATTTAAATTAAAAACTCAAATCAGCGACCTAAACGGACCTTAAGTGTTTGTAGCAAAAAATTTTTCATCAAGAACACCCACAAACACATAGACACATAGAACTTGCTCCTATTAAGATATTTGTTGCTAGTGGTATTGATATGTTAGTTATAGCCACTCTTATGTCAGTCAAAAGTTATTTCTTTTACCTCATAAAAAATGAATATATTATTAGTGTCATCCTAACGGCGATTATCTGTCATTTTGAAATTAATCTCGAGTCCCACTAATAAAATAGAAAGAACATGATTTAATTCTACTCGAATCATGTCACCACACATTTAACGTCATACTACATGTTAATCGGGTAGGGATTCAGTCAAAAGTCATTATAACTAGAAGTAAGTGGATGTTTGATAAATTCTTTTTTATAAAAGCATAAATATTTAAATGTTTAGTAAACTATAAATTAAATTGTAGTGAAGATATATAATTATTAATACAGGCACCTATTTATTTAATAAAATATATTTATACGTGTATAATAGTTCTATAGATGAATAAATTATAATTAGGAATGCACTAAATTTTAAAAAACTATGTATAATTATTATAATTTCATTATTTCAACTAGAAACAAATATTTTCTATTTTTAAAAGATATCTAACATAGATAAAAAAAAATTGACTAAAAAATGTATAGTATAGTGTATTTACTAAAGAATTATAATAAAAGTTTTTATCTTTAAGCAAATCATCATTATTAATAGTTTTATTTTCTTACATAGATAAATAGAATGACTATATATAATTATAATTTAGTAAGGGTATTTTAATCAATTTAAACAATGACAATAGATAAACTTGTGCACAAGTAAACTCAACTATGCTTCAAAATTTGCACTTCTAAAATTTTCATCCTATATACTTATGACTTATGAGATTATACTATATGTCAATATATTTATAAAAGAAAAATACAAAGGCCCGTTTGGAACATATATTCAAGTCATCATTTAAGTTTATTGGCGGAAACTTGATGAGAAAAAATTTTAAAATTCAAACTTTTTGTGAGATAAAAATAAATATTATAACAGAACCCAAATTTGAGTTTGAATATATGTTCCAGACAAATCAAAATAGTTTTTATAATTATTGACATTCCCTAAGCAATAGGTAAGCTGAACTACTGAAATTTGCATTAAAAAACAAAAAATATTAGACTATGTTCCATAAAAAAAATAATATTAGGACATGAATATTGTTAAAAATTGCTAGTCCAAAAAACAATTTCATGCATTATTTTTCCTGAAAAGAAACAGCACAAAAATATGAATAAATGGCTTTCTTATGATTTCATAATCATTCCCGCCCTCAACTCTTTAAACGTTCTTTTAATATTTTATTACATCACCAAAAATAATGTTAATTAGTACTTTAAGGGTCTGTTTAGTTCACTGATTCGAGTTTTAATTTGAGTTGAGATGTGACTTTATGTGAGAGCTTTTTACTGTAGAAAAACTCAAATTCTAAACTCGAATCAGCGAAATAAAAGGGACCTAATTCTTGCATCTTTGCATTAATATCAACTTTCAATCCCAAAATATATGGATAATATACTTTTTCTCCTAATATATTGTGACGTTTGGTAAGAAATTCGTACTCGTAGTTCATAATTTGATACAATATTTTCTTTAAAAAAATACGTAAATCGAAAATGATTTTAATTTATGTTTTAAATTCAAACCTGGGCCCACAAAATTTCAAAGTACACGGATTCCAACACTTCTACCTACTCCCAATTATCGTTAGAAAACACTGCCCAATCGCAGGGTTTGGTCACCTATCTCTGTCACAGACCAATAAGGACAGGTCAAAACGAACGACTTTTCTTAATGAGACACAGAGGATCAGCAAGCGATATTTTATCGTTTATTGATTGATAAATTAATTAATTAAAAATTAATGACCAAATTGAGTTGATTGTTTTTTAATAATTCTGAATTCAAAAGAAAAAAACCACTTTTAGTAATTATTTCTCAAATTTTTTGAGCATTAAATTGCCAAAACAAAAAGGCGATAAAACCTCTGTGGTTTCTTTGGCACTAATCCATTTTAGGGCCAACCTGATTAATTAATTTGATCAACTGAACCCCCAATTAGTAAACCTAATTATCCCCAACAGGAAAGGACAAGAAAAAATATTGTGTAACCCGTTTACTTCGCTGATTTGAGTTTGTAATTCGAGTTAAGATGTAATTTTGTGTGAGAGCTTTTTATTGTAGTAAAAAAGTTAGATGTGACTGTTTCTGAGAGTTTTTTACTGTAGCAAAACTCAAATTCTAAACTCGAATCGGCGAAATGAACGGGGCCTAATTTTCGGACATCTACCTAACAGGGGCACAAACGTCATTCACTCAAAAGTATAATGCCTTAACCGCGCAACTATTTTTTATAAATATTTAATTCCTGTTTTTTTTCTCTTTCTTGCTACTATTTTTCCGAGTTTTTATTTATCATGTTTGGCTCGAGAGAAAAGAAGAGAGAGAGAGAGAGAGAAAAAGAGTAGTATTGTGTGAACTGTGAAGCTGAAGTTGGGATTCGCAACATTTCGTCACATCGAAAAGATTGATCTTTCTGAAAGCGAAACGAAGAAGAAAGAAAAAAAGCTCCGAAAAGCGAAATCGAACAAGAAAACTATCAAGTTTCTTTCTCTGAAAAAGCCGTGTAAGCAAATCCACAAAACAAACAGTTTATTTTTACTTTATCGCAACTTGCAGTTCTTTGATTTGAGATTCTCCTTTTCTTTTTCTTTTATCTGCATAAGCTTTTGTTTTTATGAAATTCTTCTTCGATTAGCGAAAAGTTTTTACAGTGTTTTGCTTTTTGTGTTTGGAGTTTTACAGATTTAGAGCTCAAAAGCTTTGTTCGTTTTGGGAATCGGAACTAAGAAAGTCAACGAAAGAGTATGTAAAGTTTTTTTTGCTTTTTTTTTTTCAGTTGGAAAATAGACGAAGAGTCTGTGATTGAAGTAAAAAAAGGCATCTTTTTTGGTCTTCTGACGTGGTTTTTGTGTTTTCTGGAAATGAATAATATAAATGCGTAATCTTTATATAGCATAGCCAAGACACTTTTGTGTTTTATTTATTATAATTTTACTAATTTGATGTATTTTTCTTGTGTGTAATGTCTGAGATTTTTTTCCAATTTTATGAATAACTGGCTAGGGTGAGTAAACTTGGATTTTGAGCTTGTTTTAGACGCATTTATTTGTTGTTTGCCAAGGTGAGAAAGTGAAAATGAAAAAAAAAAAGAAAAAAAAGAGAAAAGAATGAAAGAAAGAAAGTAAAAGGAACCCACTTTGGTAAATTACCAAAAGAATATATTCTATATGGAATGGAAGCTGAGAGGAAATCTGTCTAGAGTTGGAGATTAGCGTGGTCCCTGTTTCTATCCTTTCTTAAGCAGTTGAATTTTCAAATTTTCTGACGACATATTCCCTGGAACTGAATATTTTGTGTTGTTGGGTCATTTCGTATTTTGTGTTTACTGCTTTTGTATGTATTTGAATTTCTGGGGAGTCAATGTTTAGCTTTTGTCTGTGCATTTTGGGCATGTTTTTTCTAACCCCAAGTTATGGGAGTGTCTAGTTAACAGTGGGATTTTGCTTTGCTTTTAATGTCATCTTCATTCATCTTTGTTCCAAATAGCTATACTATGCTGTTGAAATTCTTCATCCGGACGCTTAGATAACGATTTGCCGTTCTTTCTTTTGTTAATAGATCAAAATTCAAAGGAGGAGGTTCAGTTTGTACAGTCCATGCTTTCTTGTCATATTGTCTGAGAGAAATTTTGTACAAGTTAATTGTTATATACGACCAGTATTTTCTGTGACATTATGCATGTCTGGCCCTGTGGCCATTGGTGATAAAGTGGAAGGAGCACTTACTTGTGCAGAGAGAACAAGATCCCTTGATGCTATTTCAGAAAAGGAGAACGTTTTGACTTCATCAAATGGAGAAGTTGATCATACTTCTGAAGCGGCGGGGTTTAGGGCCGGGGAACTATTACTTTCCAATGGCGAATCCTACTCTGGATCACTGCTTGGCAACATCCCCGAGGGCAGAGGGAAGTATGTTTGGTCAGATGGTTGTGTATATGAGGGTGAGTGGAGAAGGGGGATGAGACATGGGAATGGAAGGATTCAATGGCCTTCTGGTGCGTTTTATGAGGGCGAATTTTCTGGTGGTTATATACATGGTACAGGGACTTATATTGGTTCGGATAAGATAACATACAAGGGAAGATGGAGGTTAAGTCTCAAGCATGGTTTGGGATATCAGGTTTATCCTAATGGAGATGTTTCTGAAGGGTCTTGGATTCAGGGAACACCAGAAGGGCCTGGTAAGTATACATGGGCTAACGGAAATGTTTATCTAGGAAACATGAAAGGGGGGAAGATGTCAGGGAAAGGAACTCTTACTTGGATTAGTGGGGATTCATTTGAAGGAAGCTGGTTGAATGGCATGATGCATGGATTTGGAGTATATACTTGGAGCGATGGGGGCTTCTATGTTGGAACTTGGACAAGGGGTTTGAAGGATGGAAAAGGCTCTTTTTATCCGCAAGGCAGCTGGCTTCCAGCTGGGCAAGAACTTTACCTCAATGCTTTGAGGAAAAGAGGGCTATTGCCAGATCTGAGAAAGCAGAATAATGGGCATATCCACCATGCTGCTTCAGTAGATATGGGAAACACCAAAGTTGTGGATAGCCATGGATCTCGTCGTAATACATCCGATAGGCTTTCTAAAAGAAACCTATTGAATTTGGAGCAATCTCGTGGCAGAAATGTTTCCTTGGAAAGGCGCTGGAGTCTTGAGGTATCAATAGAAAAACTTATTGGCAATAATTCATCATTAGGCATATCCGAACCCATCTCAGAAGGCGGAGATAAAGATGCTGGCACAAACATACCAATCTTGGAACGAGAATATATGCAAGGTGTCTTAATTAGTGAGCTAGTGCTAACCAGTAGTTTTTCACGGACATCTAGAAGGGCAAAAAGGCGACACAAGAAACTGGCAAAGGAGGTAAAGAAACCTGGTGAAGCGATCATTAAAGGACATAGGAGTTATGATCTAATGCTTAGTTTGCAGCTTGGTATCAGGTATAATATCTTTTTCTTGTTTTTCAAGACTGCTTCAGCTTTAACTCTTAGGCTTATTGCTTTATTTTGTCTCTGTTATCGTGTTATGTCCACTTCACCATAAAATAATGCCTGTAAAGTCCATTTTGTTTCTTTTGGAAAGCCCAATACCACTCGGTCCAGTGGCACCGGGGGGTTTGGGCGGGATGGGGTTTGGGGGTGGTTGCGTTTTTCAATCCAGTCTTGTATCATGTTGATTCTTTTGGAATTGAGTCGCAACATAAACTAGTAATACACTCTTCTTTTCTCTATATGACATCAACCCTACACTCTGGAGTTGGTACAAGCTTGCTCTAATAGTTCTTTTCTGAAAGAGGAAAAACAAAAGAAAAGAAACTGAGAAGAAATAGATTTCTTAATTCCATTATTCTAGCTAGAACATAGATTCCTTTAAGTTGGATGTTCTGATATCATAGGTTTTCCTTTAATTCCTTTGTATAGGCGTACAATCAGCGTACGTGATTATCATCATGGTTGTTGTCTAATTTTTCATTTCATTGTGTTGGAGAGCTTGATGTTGAACGTGGATTAGAATATGGTCAGATATACTGTAGGAAAAATTACGCCTATACAAAGGCGGGAAGTTTGGGCATCAGATTTTGGTCCCCGTGCAAGTTTTTGGATGAATTTTCCTAAAGAAGGCTCCCAAGTTGGATGTTCTGATATCATAGGTTTTTCTTTATGCTTATGAACTTATTTTAGATAGAGCATAAATTCCATTAACTTGGATGTCCTGATTTCTTTTAAAAGCAATGGAAAAAGTAGAATCCAATCAGCGTACGTGATTATCATCATGGTTGTCGTCTAATTTTACATTTCATTGTGTTGGAGAGCTTGATGTTGAACGTGGATTAGAATATGGTCAGATATACTGTTGGAAAAATTACGCCTATACAAAGGCGGGAAGTTCGGGCATCAGATTTTGGTCCCCGTGCAAGTTTTTGGATGAATTTTCCTAAAGAGGGCTCCCAATTGACTCCACCTCATCAATCTGAAGATTTCAAGTGGAAAGACTATTGTCCTATGGTCTTCAGGTTAGTTATTGACTCTCTTGTCGTTATGTTCTGTTGAGTTTTGTGAGCGTGACATGTGTTTTGCTTGATGAATTTATTGTTAGTGTTAAAGTATAAAATTATTGTTAGCCCACCTCCTAACAGCTTAAGCTTTTGGGATGGATTGATAAACTAACATGGTATCAGAGCGGGAGGTCCTGAGTTCAAACCCTCGTAATTGCACTATTTATCCTCATTTAAATTGTCATCACGTGTTGGGTCTTTAATATATTTCGGGCTTAAATATTCACGTGTTGGGCTTTCTAATTAATTTAACCACACGATTGCCCATTGTCCAGCTCACACGTGAGGGGGAGTGTTAAAGGATAAAATTATTGTTTGTCCACCTCCTAACAGCTTAAGCTTTTGGGATGGATTGGTGAACTAACAGTTAGTAACAATTTTAGACAAATAAATGGAGGACAACTTGTTCGACCTTAGTTTTGTAAGTAATTTATGCTTACCCTTTAATGCTTGCATTTGGTTTTTCATTGTTGTTTATGCAATGCACGTCCTTTGCTACTTACTGTAGGAATTTGAGGGAGATGTTCAAGATTGATGCTGCCGACTACATGATGTCTATTTGTGGAAATGATGCTCTTAGAGAACTTTCTTCTCCAGGGAAAAGTGGTAGTGTGTTTTTCCTGTCTCAAGACGATCGCTTCATGATTAAAACGCTTCGGAAATCTGAAGTGAAGGTTTGTCCATCGTTATGAGGCATTTTTCCATTTTCCTTGGTCCTTATCTTCTTTTGTTTTATTTCTTTCATTTTTTAAGAAACATTTTTAATTTATGGTAGTGCTGATGTATAGGTCCTCCTACGGATGCTTCCAGATTATCATCATCATGTAAGATCATACGAGAATACACTGATTACAAAGTTCTTTGGTCTTCACAGAATCAAACCTTCAAGTGGTCAAAAGGTAATGAGCAGAATTTGTTAGATTCTTTTTGTGCTCTTGTGCGCAGCCTGTTCCATTCCACCGATATGATGTCATAACCAGCTATTCTTTTGGACATCTAACTTTTGTAATGTTCTTTTATTTGGTATTACCCTAGTCCATTATGACCAAAATTGCTATTTCCATACATTCTTTATGATCTAACGCGTGTCGGTTCTCTTATACTAAAGAAACTGATGTAACAATTTCTTTGCAGTTTCGTTTTGTAGTGATGGGAAACATGTTTTGCACAGAATTAAGGATTCATAGAAGGTTTGATCTAAAAGGTTCATCACTAGGGCGTTCCGCGGACAAGGTTGAAATAGATGAAAACACGACATTAAAGGATTTGGATTTAAACTACTGCTTTTATCTGGAACCATCTTGGAGAGAGGCTTTACTGAAGTATGTGATAACTTGTGAAAGTGCTTGTCTAATATATCTTTTCCTTTTTGTAGTTCATAATATAGGATTAATTTCTTCCTGATATTATTGCTCCATAACTCTATGTACCTTTAGATTTCAAATGCTCGTTTCTCATGGCAACAGCATAAGTTGACAGATTCTAATAGGTCAAGTTGTTATCATTTCTACCCACCTGAGCTTATCTATACTGGGGTTCTTGCTGTGAAATTCATTGTTGCTGCTATTGTGTCCGTACAGGCAGATTGAGATTGACAGAAAATTTTTGGAAGCCCAACACATTATGGACTACAGCCTTCTGCTAGGTGTGCACTATCGCGCTCCCCAACACCTATGGCCTCTAATGTCCTACAGGGGAAGCAGACGAGCAGACGGATTGGGAATGGTTGCAGAGGAAGGTAGTGCTTTATCTGTCATGCTATATCATGTACCCAGTTGTTTTATAGCATATGATTCGCATTATTAACTACCATTGAGTAAGTTCGAGCACAAATGGAAAAAGACAGAATCGAACGTGCAAGCAAAAACAAAAATGTTGAATAAGATGGGTGGTTAAGTAAATTTTTTGGCTGAATTCAAAATTTCATAACAAAAGTTGTTTTTACCAGCACGTTACATAAATTATGCAGTTCTCTTGAAACTATGCTCATCTCATGCAGCTCTAAAATGTAAAGCTTAGGCACTGCCGTATTGCATCGAAAGAGACTCCTTTTTTTAGTATTATTATTACTGTTATTATTATTATTCTTATTATTTATTTATTTATTTATTTATTTTACAATGAAGTGATTAACTAGACTTCCCAGGTGGTTTCTTGTTCCCAGTGCTCGCGTACACGATTCAATAAATTATCGTAGATAAGATTCAATTTAGGACAATTTGAACTAATTTCCTGCTTTGAGAGACTTAAACGGTGGTTGAGAGAACGTTTTATGTAATTCTGTGGATCAATGATGAACCACACACACAATCGCTGCTCTTCAAACAGGTTTCAGTTTCTTGTTGTTGACCAACACAGATTTTGCTGATGATGTCCAAATTACAGAGACTTTGGAGGATCATATCTCCAACTATCCACAGGGCCTTGTTTTAGTTCCTCGTGGAGAAGATGATAACAGTGTGGTTGTTGGTCCGCACATCAGAGGTAGTCGATTGCGAGCATCAGCTGCTGGCGATGAGGAAGTGGATCTCCTCCTACCTGGTACAGCAAGGTATGTTTCTCGCACCATAAAATGTGCACTATGCTTGCACTTCCAGATAACCGTCCCAAAGCCGACCAAAGTTCCTTAGCTGACATAATAAACTACCAACAAAAGCACTAGGCCCCTTTAATGGTCTTCGAAAATTAACCGTTAGACACAAGCACTGAGCGAAACATACACATGTTAAACCCCAAAAAGAAAATGCTAGAGATAACTACATGCTTGATAAACCTGCCTTCAAAACATTAACCATAGTGAAAGTTATACTAGAATAGTTTCCTCTGATTTTGTGTACCAATTTGATGTTACTGTATCGGAACCTGATTTTACTTTCTTTGGCCTTGTAAAAAACAGACTCCAAATCCAGCTCGGTGTGAATATGCCGGCGAGGGCGGAGCAGGTTCTGGGGAAACAGGAAGAGAAGATGTTCAATCAGGTGTATGACGTGGTTTTGTATTTGGGTATCATTGATATATTGCAAGATTACAACATGAGTAAGAAGATTGAACATGCATACAAATCTTTTCAGTTTGATTCTTTGTCAATCTCTGCCGTGGACCCCACATTCTATTCCCATCGCTTCTTAGAATTCATTAAGAAGGTTTTCCCTTCGACTGATGTAACAAGTTAGAAGAATTTGTTATTGTAATATATACCATGCCTCTTTTGTGAGTTTTTGTTTTTATAAAGTCCACCTGTTTGCTTGCTACGAAATTGCAAAATACACTTGTACGTTTCTTAGATGGTTTAATTTTGCTTTTGGCTAACAGATGATTTCTTTTCCTTTCTATTTTGTGATTAAAAAATCCCAAGTGTTTTAAAAGGGTAGAAAATTGAAAAAAGTCGAGCGATTGTATAATGGAATTGACAAACCGTCGCCATAGTAGATCAAATTGGTAAATAAAATGCGACGAAAGAATTACCAAGGTCAAATGCATGGACTAAGAAAATGAATATCTCAAAAAGGCTATCAATAAGATACAGCTTACATTTCTAAGCCCATAGTAGATCAAATTGGTAAATAAAATGCGACGAAAGAATTACCAAGGTCAAATGCATGGACTAAGAAAATGAATATCTCAAAAAGGCTATCAATAAGATACAGCTTACATTTCTAAAACAAAAAAAAAAAAAAAAAAAAAAAAGAGGAAAAAAAAAGAAAAGAAAAGATACAGCTTCTAGCTCAACGAGAAAAACGGGATCAAGGACAAAGTTGCTTTCGCATCATGTACAAATGGAACAGCAAACTGAGCGCACGATTGATTCAAGACTTATTTGGAAAAGCCAGATAACACCTACTGAGAAGCGGGGGGCCTGGGGATCTGTCCCATGTTGGGAGGTGGCGGAGGTGGGCGAATACCTTGACCGTGCATCTGCAGGCCTCCAAAACCGAAATTGGGCATTGGATTGCCTACTGGGGGAGGAGGAGGGGCAGGTGGAGCTCCACTAGGAGGCATAGGCCTAGGGCCGTTTGCCATGGGAGGAGGTGGCGGTGGCAAGGATCCCGGTATCGGGGGTGGTGGGGCTCTCGGAGGATTTCCCATGGGTGCGCCTGGTGCTGGTCCTTGCGCGGGTGGCGGAGGAGGGGCTTGAGGTGGTGGAGGAAGAGGCCTTGGTGGGACACCGGGAGCAGTTGTGCCATTGACTCCTGGGGCAGGTGGAGGCTTATTGGCCTCTAGTGGCTTAGATTTGAAATAAAGCTGCAACTGCATATTAAAACATCCCAAATACTCAGCGTCTGACAAAAACCAACTTAACAGACATCAAATAGTAGAATATTATAAACCATTTTAAAACAAGATAGTGACTGATCCCTTCAAATACTAGTATACCCACAATTAGCTAAGAGAGGGCTATCCACTATCTAAAGTTTTTCCAAAGCACGGCTATAAGGAAATGAAGTAGCCGACCAAGAGCACAAAGACTAACCGTGAACATTTTGGAGTCTGGATCCCAATGTGTGAAGAAATTCTGGGTGGATTTGTCGATCTCGGTACTAGGGACCTGAAAAGGAAATACTACTGTAAGTAGCAAAAGATAGAATTTAAGCTCAAGGGTAAAAACAACAACATAATAACTATACCTTGAAACCAATGATCTCATATGGTTCAGCCGCAAACAGAAGATACTGGTATCTTTTGTCAAATGGTTGGATCCTCTGTAACCATGAAAATGCAAACATAAAAGAAAGTTAAATTTGCCACCTTTTGGACATAAAAGTTTCAGCTTTAGCACTTTAATAAAATGACAAACTCAATTTAGACCTTACCTGCTCATAAGATGACATGAATCGGTGCCTAGGCTTTGCAAGGTCTTCAATCTCAGGATATTCAATCTGCAAGACAACCGAGCAATCACATGAATATCTGTGACTTCCAAGTTCTCAAGGTATGGAGGGAAAAGGTTTCATCAAAATTTAGGTAAATAATGAAAAAGCCCGTTAAAATAAATACCTGGAAGAGAAGAGACCTCTGTTTTGTCTCCGGATCAAATTGCTTTGTCACCCGGTACCCAGGCCTACCAATTTTGACTGCAATTGTAGGAAATACAAGTGTACTTATAAGCAAATTATCAAATTCACAAGGAGACATCAAGAAATGTTTCTTTAACACGTATCAACTTTCAAGTAAGGAATATGACACATACAAGAGAATAATTCAAACAAAGACTGAGGAACATAAATAAGTGTACACCAATGAATTTCCAATTTGCCAATTCCTAAATTCTCTAGAGTAAATCACAGTAGACGGTGCACAATTTGGTACCAATCCCTAAATTCTCTAGGTTATTTTAAAGAGTAAGACAAAAATTCACCCTAAAACCTATGGATGTCCTCTAAACCTAAGACAACTGAGCTATGCCCCATAGCAAAAACTGTATCTTCAACCCGCAAGCTACTATCAAACCCAAATTTTGGGAAGTTCTAAATCAAAATAGAGAAAATCAAGAATTGTGCCTTCTCATTCACCTCTTTAGTTGTGTCCTTGCCTTAAAATTTTGTCTTCCTTTGTTACTTAAAGAGGACATAAACTAGAACACAAAGAAATTCATGCTTATATGATGATCTTTGGGTGAAGAAATCAACAATTTCCAAAAACTAAATAGAAACTTTCCAACCCTTTAACTGTTTGACAAAATGACAATAAGAACAAAAACTACAGCACAAATGAGAAGAAAGCAAGACATGCCTGTCTTCCGAATGTTGACTTTGCGCTTATGGGGCTGAGGCTGAGCAGGAGCCTCCTTGGCCTCGCGAGCCGCCCTCTTGGCCAAATTCGTCTGGTGGCGCTTCCCCTGTGTGTGGGCCAAGTAATTCCCCTCATTGTTGTGCAGAGTCAAGCAAAGCTTACACTCATAGCTAACCAAAAACAACAAAATCAGAATCGAACCCTAATTTCAATCGGACGTGAAATTGAAGATATAGTGAGAGAGCGATTAGGGTTACCTTCCGAGGTGGTTGCGCATAAAGTAGGGGTCTTTGGCGAGATCGATGGTTTCTAGGGCGAGTCGCCGGAGTCTCTCCCGGCGGTCGATGGCCTCGTTCTGGGCGGAGGCGGCGCCTCCGCTGCCGGGCTTGGAACCCCATTCCCTGTCCATATTGGGTGGTTTTCTACGATCTAGGGCTCAGATTCAGAGCGAAATCGGAGCTGAGGGTGAGGGAGGGGAACCAATGGAGGCTCGTCGGCGGCGAGATTGAGCGACGCGAACGACGGAGAGGAGCAGTGGAGGCCTCTGGTCTAGGGCTGGGACTCGGACGCTGACGAGAGAGAATAAGCGAGAAAAGACGGCATGTAACCCTCTTCTATCAGGTTTTTTTTTTTTTTTTTTCCCCTTTACTTTTAGTCACTATCAGGGGCGTTTGGTATACGAGAATTATAGGAATCATATTTTCGAAAAAATGATGAAGGGTAATATGATTCTTAAGAATAATATATTATTATATTTAATTTTATACATAAAATTTTCTCAATTTCTTAAAAATATTACAATACTGTGTTTAATTGTGCATGAAAATATTGTGAATTAAAAAATATATTTTTTAAATGAATAATAATAATAATTATTATTATAATTATTATTATTACTATTATTATTATTATTATTATTATTATTATTATTATTATAATTATTATTATTACTATTATTATAATAATAATAATAATTATTATTATTATTATTATT